ACCTGATTGAAGTTATGGACAATATAGAAAGCACTTCGCGCGATTCTTCGTCGATTAATGAAGCCAGTGGGTACAAATTAAAGCTGCAAGATACAAATTTTGTATTTTGGCTAAGTATTTTCCATAAAATAATGCCACATGTTGAAATTGTCTTTCACCAATTACAAAAAGTATGCACCGATTCTGTTAAGGTCAAAAATGATTTAGAGAATTTTGAAGCAGCAATTCAAACTATACGAGAACAAATGGATAGCATTATTGACGAGATTGAACGAATGCAGAGAGAAACTGATGAACCGGCAAGAAAAAAAAGGCAAGTTGGAGAAGGCAGCAAAAAACGGGAAGCGTTAGAAATATGCGATGCAGTATTATCGCAAATAAGAACAAGATTTAACTTTTCTGGGCATTTAGTTGCTTCTAATTTATTTGTGTCTGGAAAGTTTTCTGTTTATAAACATCAGTTTCCTGAAGCACATTTAAATGACACATGCACACAATTTTCATTTCTAGACAAAAACAGGCTTAAAACTGAGTTACAAGTATTATATCAGAGAGAAGAATTGAGTACTACTTCTGGAGCTGTTCCACCAGCCATTTTATTGAACGAGGAAGGATTAAATTGTACGTTTCAAGAAACTCTTAAAATCTTAAGTATTTTAATCACTATACCGATGTCAACATCTGAAGCAGAATGCTCTTTTTCAATGCTGAAACGGATTATAGCTTTCCTCAGAAACACAATGAAGGAAGAAATGCTTAGTGCTTTAGGAATGCTGTCTGCAGAAAAACATGTTGTTAGTGGCATTGAAAATTTTAATAATAAGGTAATCGAAAACTTTGCTACCAAAAAAGAAAGAAGAATGGACTTCATATATAGAAAACTTTGAAGTTATAGGTACTTCTCCATACTTGTTTTATAATTTGGTGCGCGTGTGTAAATAGTTTTATTTTTGATTTTTTTTGGACATATAGATTAATTGAACCTCAAGAACTTTGACCACTAACTATCAGGGGTAAGTTATAAGCTACTCTTTACAATTTTGAATCGATTCAAAATTATGGCTTCCATTCTGGCACTACCTCACTGAATTGGCACGAGCCGCCACTGGTACCAACAAAGTAAAAATTATACGCAAATAACGGGGTAGGGTTACTAAGGGACTAATAAAGTCGTCAAATCAGAAGGATATTCTTTAAAAAGTGATGAAATTAGCGCCAACAAAAGAGTGCGTCGAAGCTTACAATGAATGTAAAAAATTATTTTTATAGTACTTACCAGGGAAACAAAAAGAGCTTTTACAAAATTAGATAATAGTGAAAATGATAGCAGAAGACTTGGTCTACTATTAACGAGATCACTGAAAATACAAATAGGCAATATAAACAATATATTATTGAAGTAAAAACAGAGTCGGGAAACTTTATAAAGGATACCCAAAATATCTACAATGAATTTATAACATTTTTTTTTCCAATAAAGGTGAAGATTTAGCTAATCAGTTGCCAAAAGATATACCCTTGAAACAAGTTCCAAAAGATCGTTAAATTCGTTTATTTTAGACAAATTAGTACCACATGATGCATTATCTCTCTGAAAAAATACAAAAGTCTAGGATTTGACAGTATTAAAAGTGAGCATCTAAAACTTATGGACGAGGATATACGAGTGGCAGAAACAGTGACTTATATAATTAATCTATGTTTTGAATCTGGTATATACCCCTCCCTTTTGAAAAAAATGTATTGTAACACCAATATACAGGGTGTTTCAGTTTATTGTTGCATAACTTTAAGATTCGATAGAACTTTTAAAATTAATGCATATCTATATAAACATGGGTCGAAAAATGCGTGTTTGAAGTTACTTTCTGAAATAGTTTTTTTTTTAAATATTTCGAACAATATTTGATGTATAGCAGTGAAAATTGGTATACAAGGGTTTTTTGCTACGACAGAACGAACCATGGGCATAGTTTTACTGCTCTCTTGTTAATTTTCCTTATAAATAGCCGTTTTTTGAGATATTTCGATTTTTACGGTTCGATGCATTTTTAATTATTTATGATAAAATAACGTTAAAAAGTCAATCTCTCGATAATTTTTAGAAGTAGGCTGTGCCTGCAAATATTTTTTAAATTGAAAGCAGAATAAGGTTAAACGTCAATTAGTTGACAGTTAGTTTTGTTGTCGGTTGAAACCTGAAACGGTTTCTTGCAATTGTGAATGCACGAAATTTAGTTTCTTTTACCTGTTTTTTTGTAAGTTTTATAAAAATGCCATTTTTATTCTCCAATCAAGAGTTAGCGGATATTCATTTTGTGTATGGCTTTGTGAATGGAAACGCAGCAGAAGCAGCCAGAGAATACGCACGAAGATTTCCAAACAGACGACATCCAACTCGCTCAGTATTTGTAAGAGTGCATCGCCAAATAATTGAAAATGGTTTTGGAAATCTCCAAAGGGATCAAAACATAAATGTTCGTCAGCGCAAATTTACCCGTATGATTCTGCGTGAGTTTGATAGAGATCCGACCACAAGTGTTAGGAGAGTTTCTGCTGCCTTGGGAATTTCAGCAAGCCATGTTCACCGTGTTCTTAGAAATGACCATAGACGTCCTTTCCATTTGAAACCTGTGCAAGGACTACAGCCAGGGGACGGAGAACGAAGAATCACATTTTGTCAGTAGATTCTTGATAGAACTGTTAATAATAGGGAGCTTTTAAGTAACGTTTTATGGACCGATGACTCATGCTTCACTAGACGTGGAGTGGTAAATTTTCATAATCAACATATTTGGTCGCATGAAAATCCGCATGCAGTTCGGGAAAGAAATTTTCAGCATGAATTCTGTGGGAACGGGTGGATTGGTATCTACCGTAATCGACTATTTGGACCCTACCTTTTGCTTGCAAGGTTAAATGCTGCGACCTTCTTGGAATTTTAAAGGCTGAACATGCAAATATCTGGGATGATGTTATGTTAGATTTAAGAAGATTGGCCTGGTTCCAGCTTGATGGTTGTCCAGCTTATTATTCGAGAATAGTTAGAAACTGGCTGGACGAAAATTATCCAGAAAGATGGATCGGCCGTGGAGGATCAGTCGCCTGGCCTCCACGATCCCCTGACCTGAATCCATTAGATTTCTTTGTGTGGGGATTTCTAAAAGAAAAAGTGTACCAGACTCCCGTAACCACAAGAGATATGCTAATAGACAGAATCAGGAATGCATGTGATGAAATAAGGCCTAATTTGAATAATGCTATACCACGTTCGATCATTCGTAGATGTGAATTGTGTATTGAACAATTGGGTTTACATTTCGAGCAACTACTTTAGATTTTGTATGTTTGTCCTAACTATCCAATAGCATTTTAGTTGTAAATAATTAATTTAATTTGTTAAAATAATATTGGATAATTAAACAAATTAATATTCTGTTTTTTGTGGTTTTTTGGAGTTAGGAATTATTGCTGTGTTTAAAAACGCAATCTTAACGATCATCTTAATTACTTGTAATGCCCAATCGAAAATGTAAAAAAATATTATTTTCCCATGAATAATTAAAAATGCATCGAACTTTAAAAATCGAAATATCTCAAGAACGTCTAACTATAACGAAAACTCACAGGAGAGCTTTTTATGTTGAAAAGTGCGAAGAATCAGTTTTTTTTATTCAAAAAGCAAAAAATTGCACTAAGAAAAATGTTTCGGTCATTTTAATACACTACAGGTACAGTAGAGAGCGTCCTCTAGCGGCTACCGTAAAACTATGCCCATGGTTCGTTTTGTCGTACCAAAAAACCCTTGTATACCAATTTTTACTGTTATATTGTTCGAAATATTTTAAAACAACTATTTTAGAAAGTAAATTTAAACATCCTGTATTTCGGAAGCTACGCATTTTTCGACCCATGTTTATAAATATAGACTATATGCATTAATTTTAAAAGTTCTATCGAATATTAAAGTTATGCAACAATAAACTGAAACACCCTGTGTAAATCAGGAGATCGGACAGATATCAACAACTATAGACCTACGAGTATATAGGTAAATTCTAATATAGCAAAAATATTTGAGAAACAAAATATCTACTGAGTCCTAAATTCCAAATACACCAAAATCTTGATAACAAAATTCCCTGTCATTGTATTTTTGTTGACCTAAGAAAAGCTTTCGATACAGTAAACCATAAATTATCGTTAGACACATTGGAGAGACTTGGTGTTCGGGGAAAAATGTACTCATTACTAGAAAATAATTACTTATCCAACAGACAGCAATCCGCTAAAGTATCAAAATATTTCAGTAACGAAATATTTATCAAATGTGGAGTCCCACAGGGAACTGTTTTAGGTCCACTGCTTTTTAAAATATACTCAAGTGACTGTGTGAGCAAAATAGTAAGTTTCGCAGATGACACAACAGTTCTTTATAAAAGTGATAATTGGTTTCATTTTAGCAGCATTTAATAGCAGAAAATTGAGCATTAATTACTCTAAAACACATTTATTTCCTTTCCGGACGTCTAAAAAATCACACAAGCATCTCTTTTATCGTAAATAATGAGAAATTAGAAATTAACAAACCATCAGACATAAAATATCTGAATATTCCTGGATCCATACGTAAATGTACAGGCAATGCCTAGTATTAGCTCTTATTTCATACTTATTTACTAATTCTTTGAATTGTGTTTCGAAAGTAAATAAATATTATTATTATTATTTTTATTCCATGTTGATAAGTCTCCATATTTTCTGCCCAACCAATGAAACCTCATATGCAGGATTAACTTTTTGGTAACGTTTCGTACACCTGGGTGGCATTTTCCAAAATGCAAATCATGGCCACCAAACTGGCCAAAACATCAATAAAAAGTTAATCCTATACATATGGCTTATGGTTTGCTTTAACGACCAGATAACATAAACCCACTTTCTTTATTTTGTTAAGAATACTTCGCCATTAAAACAACTGAAAGAAGCTTTGCTTGTTTTTATTCTGCGTAGTGTCTGCCCAAAATATGTGTCTTGGCCGTCCAAGTCCTATGGCCTTTAGAACGCTTCTTATAGCATCCGGATATATTCACATTTCTTGCCAAGGGATCATAAGGACACAACAATTTTTCAAAGTATTCCTTCCGAAGAGTAGTTAACTCATATTTCTCAAGCAAACGTTTATGTAGCTTCTCTTCTGCAATTTTTGACCTATATACATCGAACAATTGTCTATGCAGACCGCCTTCTATGAAAATTGGTTCAATCCTACCAAAAACTCTTGATGGCTGCTCACTAAAGCACTCGTCGTAGAGCCAATCTATCCTGCTTCTAGTATCTACTTGACCATATGCCAACTTGACATCATAGCATGGCATAAAATGAATGTTGTTCGGATTCTCTACAAAAAAATCACATGGAAGAGGCGCGTATCCATCAGGACATTTTTCGAAAAATGTTCTTATTCTGTAACTGAATATACTTTTGCTTTTACTGTCGTCATTGGAATCACTGGTGAAGCTCCTTGCAGGTTCTTCGTTGCATTGAGAATGAACGCTGTGGACACTGCCTTCTATTGTGATAAATGATTCAGAGGAAGTGAGAAATGATTTATCCTTTACTGTTTTGACTTCAGAATCCTCAGCTGCATCTGAGTAATCTTTTGCAGATGATTGTGTATTACTCTCCACTTGCTCATCTAGACATGTTAAACTGCAAGATGAAGTTATTGACCGTGGGGTATCCGAGAAGCACTTCAAACATCCTTCTTCTTTAAACCGCTGTATACCCTTTCTGTCGGAAAGATAATCTTCCAGACGCAATTCCTCGAACGATTTGTTTCTGTATTCCTTCATAAAAGTTATACTCATAGTGTTTATAGTTACACAGTCTTCACTTTCAAAGTCCACACCCTGCAGCACGTTGAACTCGACTGGTGTTCCAAATGGACCATTTGCGTTGTTTGAACCCAAGCATGGAAACATGTCAGCGGTGTCTTCATATACGATGAAATTTGATGGGTTGTCGTCGAATGCGGACATTATTTGAGACAACTTAAGATTTTGCGGATTGTAAGAAATAGAAATTATATAATGGTAGTACACACTTGAGATTTTTGACACTATTGAAACGTCATGTGGATAGAGAGATTCAAGTGACCAAAAAGTTGCAACCCAAGGCCGTAAAATACATCGTAAGCGAACTCTATTCTTTCTTATACGACTAAGTGGAAGTTAGGACTTTGACATACACTGCATATTTGAACTGTGGAACTATTCTGTATTAAAAGTAGTTTTAGTAACTATCCCAATTAGGAAGTTTAAATTATCTAAGGAATAATACAGTATCGTCGACCGCTACATATGTATATATCTAGACACTCAAATTGCTTCCGAATATAATAATTAGAGATACGACCGCTGCATCAAAATGTTGTTTTGGAACTATGGTTCCACGCACTCTGTATCTTGTAAAATGATTATGACCAATTTTTTATTGACATTGATACACTTATGATACTGGGTTATAGTGTGCAAGAAATAAAGTTTCCTGGTGTCATACTACCTGCACATCTAAATATCTGAATCATATGTATGGACTGAACATGCAACCCCCATGCTAAGTTACCATAAGTCAGATGTGGTATAATGTACGAAAATACTTTTCTGTCAAAATGCTTTCGAGATACTTGATTCTATTTGATACAAGTCGAACTTTTTTTAAAATATAAGAAATATGGATGAAGCAACGTAAGTGAGAATCTAGGAATAATCCGAGAGATTGTTTGGTGCTCTATTACTTTGGAGTTTCTGATTCATTACTGTAAAACAGATATCTATGTAATTTGGTAAATGCCTAATATATAAATGGTAAAAAATGTATTTTTATTTGATTCTCTGTTGTTAAACTACTGTATAATTTCGATCAAATGGTATTCGATTATGTTTTTTACTTGACACCAATCATCACCTTTATATAAGATTGCAGTGCCATTTGCAAAACTTGTTATTTTTCCAACACAGTCAATCTAAAATACATCGTTCAAATATATATCCCAACTAACAATTATCACTCCTATTAAAGTTGCAAGAATGATTATACAGTATTCCTTACACAGCATTGTATACTGTAAGAACATTGGGCTTCGTACTTGATTCATTTTTGACAATGATCAAAAGTATGTCTAGATTTTTAAGATGGAAAACTGAACTTATCTGCATTAAATCTTCCACAAATTCTATATTTAGACACAATTACACTAATGTTTATCACTTTATATCTGTAATTTCGAACTGAAACCTAATTATTTAATATTAAATAGAGGAACACATGTTTGCCCAATATGGCGGGTGGTTGTGTATTATCATGGCATCGTCTTTAGTTTATTAGAATATTTTGGTGTTGCCTGCAGGTGTTATACAACAATTTGACAAATGTGTGAAATGAAATATCGACAGAGTCGAATGATTTACCCAGAATTTGTACCAGATCTATATATATCTCCTGTTTGAACAGTTGATAAAACCTTTTGAACCAATATGCATGCGTTGTTTGTCTTAAAACATTGGTTATGGCATTTTAATAAAAATATGACAGCAGAAAGTTAGGTTATGGTGAAGTTGTATACTTACCAACATATTTAGCATATGTAGGTACAGCCTTTAACAGTTACTAAACAACAGTTGTATAAGTGCTTCCGTTGGGAGCAATTTGTTGGCTAAAGTAGTAAATTGCATAGCAAAACAACAAGGCTTGGGTTGGTTTTATAAACGTTACCATGGATGCCACAACACAACCATTTTGACGAACGTGCAAATCTGCCGTATAAAATAGTTGTATAAACGTTTATGCAACAGTTAAAAATGTGCCCTACAAGGTGTTGTATAACTATGCTATAAGAATATTTTAAACACCTCATTTTAGAGCAAATATGTTGCAGAAAGCAAATTTGCATTCCACACAACATTAAGCCAGCATTTTAGTGTTCAGGCAACAACAATAGAGAGCTTTTATGGCTGAACGGTTCTTTTACCAAAAGCTTATACCACAACTTTGCTAGTTGGGATTAAACAGTAGAAGGCCAAATACGGTACCCTGTGGGTACATTTCAGAGACATTTTCTTACTAAGTGATTTTGATATCTGAACGGTTTGTTGGCGGTTGGATAGTATCAACATTAAAATTGTATCAGCCCATTGAATGCTAGCATACCATGGGACAGCATAAATACCCGTTAGGCAGATTTCCTGCAATGCTTATGGAGCTTAATAACGGGGAAAGAAGGAATGTCGAATAATGCTGCGGCATTAGAAATCCTCTCGTCCCGAGATCCGACAGCATGCTATCCCATGCCAGGAAATCCTCTCTGTGAAATTGAAGGGCAGGCTGAGAGATATCGCAGTGCAAAACTTTAGCATGTAACCGTCCTTTGATCAGTGTCGGTATGTTATGACAAAGTTCGTCCGCTAACCTAAAATTTTGATACGAAAACTGGCAACCTGGCAAAATGGACGATTCGTTAACAGTTATAACCTATAAATCTGACAAGTGGTGGGGCACGAAATGTCAAGCTGGCTATGGTGAGAAAAGCAGCATTATTACAAGTACCATTAATATGACTGAAAGTCTCCCAAACACACAGGCGTAAAATTAGTAAGTCATATTGCAGTAACTTAACAGCGCAATTGTCTTTTCGTGTAGTTTTGGCGAGCCGTATATACGTCTGTCGGTCTGTAAGGCATGAGGAACAGAATTAAGTTTTAAGCAATCGATGAAAGAACATGTTCTTTTCAATTCCTTTGAGATGAACACCGAGCAGTTCCTTCCAATCCGTGGACACCTCCGTCGTCGAGAGATCAATTTAGGTTCTAATGCCCTCTTTACATAGAAGCAACTGGATGTTGCTGGATGAACTCCTATCTAGCTACGACTCGTTCAGACACCACCTACTTCTGATAGGGCTGGTTAAAGATTCCACATGTGCACGAAGAAGAATCATCAATAAACATTCTGTGTCACTGTTAGGTCCTGGAATACTACAGGTGTTTATAAAATGGTAACCAATACTTGGAGTTTGCAAGATTTTGACAAAAAGTGATCCTAGGCTGTATTAGGTTCACTAGCTAATCTATAGTATTTCTTGGTCAGCCAAATAACCTTATTTCTCTCAAGTCTCCATTCTTCTTTCAAACCTCCGAAACTCTATCCGACAATTACAGACTACGTCTTGGTGCTCATCGGCACTGTTTGGAAACGATTCTTCTCATAAATATGCTAACAAAGTGCATATATACAGCGTCTTGGATTACAGCGAGCGAAACTTCAATATGTAACTTAATACCCCCACAAAAAGATCATGCTAAAATTAATACTACCATGCTTCTCGTCGGGTAACTGAGACTCGCAATTTGGTTCCGGATTCCTCGGATGGTGGGAAATTTGCATCATTTCACGAAGATGTCGTTTGTAAGCTGCTGTATTCATTGGTAGTACGGTGAAATTCTACAAATCTCTGAACGGTAACATGAAAGTTGATTTTTGGGTATGTTCAGAAATAACCAGAAAGTGGAAATGTTACCACAGCCATGTAGGTGGATGTTTTCACTACACCTTCCAAACATTTTTTTTACTACGTTCCATAATGTATTGTATATTGGATGTAACAGGGTTAACCGATCGAGGAATTTCCGAAACAAGGCCAAAGTCAAATTTATACTATCTTTGAACAAGAAGTTTTACAGTGACCCTGAACTTGACCTTAAGCAGTCAACACAATGGAAAACTCGTGTTCGAATATGTATTATAATCTAAGATCATGGTTACCTCAACAGATCACATAAAGGTGAAATGTGTGAGGCTGGAGAGAATTTCTAGATGTTAATCAGGATTACTGATGACAATAGTTCTTCTTCAGCAACTTTGATCAAGGATTTTATCAGTGACCATACATGCAACCTTGCATCTGACCTTCAAGGTCACCTTCGGTTAACTGGGGGGTCCTCTTCTTTGACTATGGCTACGCAAAACCTTACATTCTAATACGTCGTCATGTGCTGTTGTGACTTGGAAGAAGATGCTAAAGGTCAACACTGAAATCCTTGTTAAAAGTTAATAAATGTCGGATCCTGCATTTTCATCAATAATAATGCTGAAGCTCCCTTTTTCCCTAGTCAAACATATTCGACCTTCGTATGACCCTCAGAGGTGACCTTCACCTCAAATTTTAATATATATTCGTACACAGAACCTGCCGTTTTTTTCTTGAAAGGAGCTTAACATTTGAAAAACAAAGATTGACCTCAGCATAACCCCAAAGGTGAGGCTTCAGGTGAAATTTAAGCAAGTAAAGACCTGAAGTTGACCTTAGCCCAAGAAAAATACAGACCAGTTTTGTTACTTTTATTACATCCAGCACATGATGAGCAAATATGAATACTTATCACTGCTTCACCAATTCTAACAAATACCATCAGTTACTATGACGCCATAGCATGTCCGAATTTGAATTATGAAATATTTTAAGCATCGCTTAAACAGCACCCCGATCCGATGTGATTCAAAAAGCCGTAAGATTGCTTTTACCATATTCAAGGGCAAGAAGTATTCGACCTAATTACCAATGTGAACTGTACTACAATCTTGCGACTCACAGGAAAGATGAGTCGGAGGAGACGCTCATTTCAGCTTCTCTGTGGGAAACTCTAGTGACTAGTTCACGATCATACATATTTAATCTCGCAATAAGTAAGTGATTCTGTATATTGTTCTTTTCATGTTTATTGGCTATGAGAAATACCTGGAAAATATTTTCAGTTTTCTGAAAGAAAGCGATGTTTCTGTGAATTCCACTATATTAATCTAGCAAAAAAATTCCTGATCTTTAAGGTCGAGGTTAATGTGAACTTTTCTTGTTTGTCAAATTTGTTCTACCTCTAATAAAGTGGTGGGAGTATTCAAAGGCTTCCGTAAAATAGTCCTGTATCTTCGAAACCACTGAGCCTATCTTAACAAACTTGGGCTAGATGACATATCCTTGGGCTAC